TTGCTGACCGACTTGCCAGCTTTTCGGCGGATGGTGAAGGTGATCAGCTCGTGGTCGCTGTCACCCAGCTTCCCATCGATCACTAGGTCGCTGACTAGGTCATCCCCAGTAGCCAGTACCAGGTCGAGCAGCGCTTTGCCTCTCGTTGGCCCATAGACTTCTTGAGTCAGGTAGAGGTCATCCACGCACGAGAGGAAGCTCTGCGACCGCTCAGATTTTGCTGAGCGATCCTCCCATGAGATGTCTGGGTAATTAAAGTCACCCATGACAACCATGGTCCTGGGTTGATATGGTAGCATGGAATTGCCTGGACCAATACTAGGGCAACAAATGTAGATGTGGTGTAAAATTACTCTTGTACTTAATCTTTAGCTGACGGTAAGTTATCTTTTGACTGTATTGCCATCTTTATGGGTACGTCTCACATAGGCTAAAACTGCTTTAGACTTCAGTGGTGGTAGATAGAGTTCCACATCCTTAAGTTAGGGTAATACATTTTTGCCCGAGTGTTCTGAAACCAAAAATGCTTTCTTTAGAAGTATAAAGAATTAACACACATGAAATCCAATCTTTAAGTTTTGCCAAGGTAAGACTGTCAGAAACTAGACCAGTGTTTTGACCTGGAAATTGGTTATTTCATAGAGTGAGTCAAAGGTTAGACAGCATTTTATTTTTCTAGTACTATTTCACTCAGTTGTTCTTGATAATTTTTAACTACGTATTTTATTTCAGTTTTTTCCTAGTTCAGGTATCACTGATTACTAGTGCATTAGTATGTCTTAGCCCAGAGGTTGTCAACTGGGAGTACCCTTCCCTACTCCATGTCCGGCGATCAGGGGTACACGTATTCAAAAAGATTGAAAACCCCTGTCTTAACCCATAGTAACAATGTTGCTGGGAGCCTACTTTTTCTAACTGGCATGACAGCCTAATGTTTGTATTTTGTATATTATATTCTATATTTGGTGGTTGTATTTTATATTTGGTTGTAATTTGCAATTGATTAGTATCATTAGCATTCTTTTTCTTTGATGAAACTGAAATGATCCAATTGAAAATACCCTTGGTGCTCTGGATGGGATTAGGAACAGATTGCCTCTTACAGAAACAAGTGAAGGTCTTCACTTATTGTGACGTTTTCTAAGTGGGCAGAACATTTCAGTCAGTTTCTACTATTTTTGTAGACTGACTGACATTTCAGTCAGTTTCTACTATTTTTGCATTTGCTTTTCAATCAGCTGTTGAAAACATTTTGAATAGGCTGCTTGATAACAAAATATGGACTTTTCCACCCCTCAAAATATAATCTAGTTCTTGTTTTTTTCCCCAATAGTAGTTTCTGACAATATTTTCAAAAACAGCTAAATCTAGAAACACGTTTTCTATTTAATAGAAAAGTTTCTGGTCATTTGATCCAGTGTAAAATATGACTAGATCATGATTATTTTGATAAAAGCTGACCAATTTATATTGGGGTCAGCTTGGGGAGGGTGTATGTGTTTAGTCAGGTCCCATAGAAAGCTATGCAAATTTCTGCTGGATGCTTCCTGTGTGTCCAGCTGCAGCTCAGATCTTACCATCTATGCATGTCATTAGGCTGTTTTTCTCATGTGGATAATAGGGCCATGCTACTCATATTTGCTCAGATTTAGGAAATTTCTCAGCTTTATTTTAAATACAACTGTATAACTTTAAGTAAAACTAGTGTTGGTATTGTGGCGATGTTTTTGCTACAATTTAAAACAGTAGGGGAAAAAACAACTTTTTTGTTTCAAATGAAAGAAACTCTTAATTTGTCTGTGGAAGAAGGTTTTCTTAGAGTATTTGGTAAGAAAGCTTACATGAAAATTTCTGTCCATCATTGAAAAATGTATGTTTGTGGGTTTTTTGTTTAAATAAATAGACTAGAGCTGTCTTAAAATTTAACGTTACAGTTTAAGAGAGCAAATATTTTATAAAAATATTTTGAGTTGGTCTAATAAAAGATATCAGATTTACCCAAAGAACCTTGTCCGCTTATAAAAAAAAAAAAAATGTCTATTTTGTTCAATTTGGTGGGGTTTTCAGAGGGGAGAGGAAAATGAAAGATTGTATTTGATATGCAATGACCTCCCCTGTCCCCAAACACTGAATTTAAATGAAAGCCAGAACATTTTTGTTCCTATTGAAATTTTGCATGGAATGGTAAATGACTTCCTGGCCTACTCTAAATTTTGATCTGCCTTATGCCCCCAAATTGTACCGTAATAAGATTCTTGTCTGTTGTTTAGGTGATGTACCAAGTAGAAGGATTTGTTGACAAAAATAATGATCTGCTCTACCGTGACCTCTCCCAGGCCATGTGGAAGGCCAACCACTCCCTAATTAAAGACTTATTTCCAGAAGGCAACCCTGCCAAGATTAACCTAAAGAGACCCCCAACAGCGGGTTCACAATTCAAGGCTTCTGTAGCTACCCTGATGAAAAACCTTCAGACAAAAAATCCAAACTACATTAGGTAAGTGATTCTATAACAAAACTTAAAACAATTATAATAGATGTGTGACTTCAACAGAAAAGAAAATTCCAAAAGTTATCCTATAATGAAGAGATAAAGGATCCCTTATCAAGGGATAATGAAATATTTTTCTTTCAGATCATTGGTGTACACTCAGTCTAGGTAAATACCAAGTGAGAATTGTTACCTTCACTCACTTGTTGCGTTTCTGTGTGAAATAAAGTTATTTTTGTGTACTTGTACAACCTTTCCATCAGTTGGCCCTAACTGGACTCATTGCATGGTCAGTCAGAAGAACAAATTTCTCAGGAAATGGAACTTCTCCCTTAGTCTTGATGAGGCAAACTGATAGGGACAGTGTAAAGAAGCTTCTTTTGTTGCTGGCCACGCCATTATATTTTGGGGAACAAATAGGACTCGTTTCTAACAGCTTATGCAAGTAAACCCTTTAATAATGGAGGGGGAAGGCTAGTTTTCTGCTGATGAGTACTTGCTATTGTATCTGCATGTACTTTGGTAGATCAGTAATTAATGTGCTTTTTAGGAAATATGTCAAAATAGCAAATTATTTTGATTTCTTTGTGGGATTTTAAGTAATGAAATTTGAGAACAAGGTACTTTTATTTCTCATGCATGTATTTAGTCAAGTTAAAGGTCATTAGCTTATATCTAGTATAAGTCTAAAGTTAAAGGTCAGTTTAATAGCTCCACATACACAAAACAATTAGCAGTTTCCCTGCTAAATAAATATATATTGTTTCAATTTCCAGATGCATCAAACCCAATGACAAAAAAGCTGCACATATCTTCAATGATGCTCTAGTGTGTCATCAGGTCCGGTACCTTGGTCTCCTGGAGAATGTCCGAGTTAGAAGGGCAGGCTACGCATTCAGGCAGCCTTATGAACCTTGTTTAGAAAGGTACAAAATGCTTTGCAAGCAGACATGGCCTCACTGGAGAGGACCTGCAAGGTAAAATTTAATTGGTATTCTTATGCCTTCATATTTTGATGTATATGTATTTAAGTAGCTAAACTCTAAAAATGTAGATCACTTACAAAGGAAGTGCTTCTAGCAAGTCTTATTAACAGAAAAGAGTTCTGCAGAGAGGGCAAATAGTTCCTAAAATACATTTCAGCCTGCTAATCTACAGAGAAAGTCTCTTTGAACTAGCTTGAAAATGGCTAGGTAGTCTGTAATAGAGTGAGAGGGGCAAGTCTCTCTCTCGCTTTGGTTTTTTTTGTATAATCCCCACTCCAACATCTTGTATCCAGTAATATGATTCTCTTTTAACTAAACTATTAAGCAGTACATTCTTTTAACAATAATTTTGAGGTAATAATAGCCTTAAAGACTTGTGAAACTATTAGATACTTCTGATAAATATTAATTCTGTAATTTTAAATTGCACAGTGCTCATCAAAAAAGGCCTTGCTGGTGTCCTAGATAGAAAAAAATAGTATTTTTCCTCCAAAGTTTTTTTTTTTTCCTATGTTTCCATGGATAAGATGAAATTGAATGTGATGTACAGATATTCTTTTATAATGAATCAACCACTTCAGCATCAATTTAGCTGTTTAAAATCATCTAGATAATGTTAGAGAAGTACAAATTATACCCATAGAAAAGTATTGCCTAAAATTATTTTGAACTCTACTTTTTAGGCATTATTGTAATTTTGGACAACTTCTGTAGTTTCACATGTATTTATTGACTTAAAATCAATATAATGTCAGACGAAACATGGTATCCATGGTTAACCATTTACAAGAGAGGAGGAGTAGCATTTGACAAGTGTCAGGCAAAGTTTGTGAAACTTCTGTATTATATTTGACACAAATGTGAGTTCCTTGCTTGACTTTTTTAAGTGCAAACCTATATTTGATGCCAAAACTGGTCCTTTGCTGGCATTGCTAAATGAAATTATTTCCCTTTATGCACAGTTATTTCATAATGTTGCAATAATGATTATCTCAAATTGAATTAAAAAATTACTAAAATGAGTTGTACTATCATTCTTAAACCATACCTGTATGGAAGACCTTAAAATGCCCTTTAATGTGCTACCTGTAGATTAAGAGAGCTCTCACTTTGTTCTTTTAGGGATGGTGTAGAAGTTCTGTTTAATGACTTGGAAATTCCTGAGGAGGAATATTCCTTTGGTAGATCAAAAATATTCATCCGCAACCCAAGAACGGTACGTGAACAAACTTCTTCAACAGAGTCAAAGAACATTTTGCATGAAGAATGCCTCTTGCTAGCACCGCAGAATTTAATGGAAAATTAGTGTAGGTTTCTCCAAACAGTGCTCTGAAGCCACTTCAGCCTACAATATGCTAACAGTCAGTCTCAAAGAACTGACATTATTGTTGTCATAACTACTCTTTGCCTGCTTTTTTAAAACATAGCTCTTCAAATTAGAAGATCTGCGAAAACAACGTCTTGAAGATTTGGCCACACTCATTCAAAAGATTTACAGAGGATGGAAATGCCGTACTCACTTCCTTTTAATGAAGAAGAGCCAAATTGTGATTGCCTCCTGGTACAGGAGATATGCAGTAAGAGTCTACTCATTTTAAACAAAGATCCCTTTTTAGTATGTAGCAATGGTTATTTTCCTTTCCTCTATCAGCTTGGAGAAGTGCTAAAGGAATTCAATTTTGTATCTGTATTTTGGCATCAGATACCCACACAAACAAATGGAATGATATGGACTTGTGTTGAAGTGCTATATATATATATATATGAAAATGACTGTCCAAGTAACTTGTTCAGGTCTATATTTGGGTATACCTTTTCCTAATATTATGCGCTGGGAAGGATGGACTCTCTCTAATGCAACAGAATCAATCGGTGCTGGGGCAGCCAACTTGAACAAAAGCTCAGTGATGCACGTATTAACTAGCTTTAAATTATTGCCATTTTTTGGTCTCTTGCCTTATTTGCGGCCTTTAAAATACATGCTATGATATTGCCAAATTGTTCTATTCCTAATGACCAACTTTGTAGTAACAGCCTTCTGTGAAAGCTTTCCAAGTTCAGCTTGGATAACATGGAGGTCAGTCAAAGATTGGAAAAAATACGGCCATTTACATCTTGAACCAAGTGATGACTTGTGAGTGGTGTAAAAAATAATTTCCAACAGGAGTTTGTCTATATGATTTCATTATCTTTCTTCAGATGATCAGGATTGGATTGCATTACTGAGTAGATCATAGGTCTTAAATGGTTTAAAAAGAGTTGGCAAAACTATGTTTGCAGATCTGCTGAAACAAGGAAATGAGAAAAAATGAATAGCTAGCCTTTGACTTGAATACACCTGTATCAGCATTATTTCCTAACTTATAGATCTTCATTGCTTTGTTGGTAATTTGCAGGAGTAATTTTGTTTTACATTTGAGCATGTAATTCTTTCATAATCCAAAATAATTACTTGGTGGAGGAGAGGTTCCTGTCTATGTATAGGGGATCCTGATCTCAGAAGCAAGATGACAAAGTTATAAGTAAGGGCAGTATTTGGGATGCTCCATAGGGGTGTATTCCCCACGTAAAATCAGCTTGGGGACATTTCCTTGTGTGGGTGAGCGGTTCTTAACCTTTTTAGATTTGGCATCTCCCTGGTTGAGAACCAGTGCTGTGCTGCCTCAGTTTATACCACTGAGTGTTTATCTGATAAACCTAAAGCAGGCAGGAACTCCTGCTCCTGTCACAGCTGCTTCCCAGTCTGGCTCTACACAAGATGCATGGGGCAATTTCACCTGGTAACAGTACCTGTGCTGCAGCACCCCTGCAAGGGAACTAGTGCACTTCCTTTATAAGTTGTGTGCATGTAGAGCTCCTTGTCTGCTATGTGGCATGTAGGGGAAGATTCTAGCTGATATATGCATGCTAAGTCTTCCTCCAGCAGAGATTTTCAGCTCAGTTTGCTCTGATTAAGTATTGGGGTGTTAATGGTGATCCTGCTGTTGGTCTTAGTGGTGGTCCTGTTGTTGGAATGGTAATCAACAGCCTACTAGTAAAAAAAATAAGGATGCTCTTGATTTTAAGAGGAAACTGTTCACCCTTTTAAGTAAAATGGTCAGTGGTTGTATGTCAAACTGATTTACTTGGCTAGCATTCTGGCCTTGCATTCAGCAACTTAGTTTTTTCCTTTAAACTATTATCAATACTGGTATTATAGAAGGGCTGTGGGTGGGTGTTAGGAACAAAAGAAGTCTTATGATTGTCAGTGGAAAACATAGCCAGCAAACTAGAGCAAAGCATTTGTGACAGACTGTCTGCTATTTTGTTGGTGGGAAAGACAACAAAACAGTAGCTGTTAGCATTTAATCCACATAACTCTACACTGCTGACCATAAGATTGTTTTTTTCTGTAAATTAGAAGTAGCATTGTCCACAGACTTTTGTTTGTGGGTTATTTCCTTTTGGGTTAGATATGGAATCCATACCCTAATTTGTGCATTTAAAAATAACACGCTGTTCTGTTAATTTCTTATGACCTGCCCCCTCAGTTATATTTTTTTAGACATTGCTAAAAATATGTTGATCAAATCACTTCATAATCATGGGTTTGCATTTCTTTACTACAGCAACAAAAGAAGTATCAGAAGATAAAGAGTTCGGCAATTGTAGTACAGTCTTACATCAGAGGATGGAAGGTGAGTTTGACGTCAGAAAGCAGTGAAAGCCTCTCATTTTACTTGCACAGACTAATACAATCTAAGCATGCCGGACTCCACTGAGGAGAGCTGAGTCGTTAACCAGCTTGCCCTGCAGAGAGTATAGCAAGCTCTTTCAGTGCCGCGGGCAGGAATTATGTTGACCACTGAAGGAGGGAGAAGAGGAGGAAAAGTCTTACCTGCTGGACTGCTCCTCACTTGAGTGGCAGGGGCTACTGCTATTGCTTTTGTGGGTGGGGGCGGGGGCTCCTGCCACTGAGAGCCAGGCAGCAGCACAGGCTTCTCAGGCAGCCCTGTTCCCTACCCACAGTCACCCCTTGTGGACAGGGTTATGGCTGCCATGGGAAAGCCTCCTGGGGCTGTGTTTGCACAGTGGCACCTGCTGTAACAAAGTCTCCTGAGGGCAGGGGGGCCCTACTGGAAGCCCCCCCGCCCCCTCCCCACTAATTCAGCACCCAGGGCTGGTGTGCTGCCCTCTCCACCCCTGCAATTTTGCTAATGTTACCAGGATTTTCAAATGTGAAATAAAATTTGAATTGAATACAATTTCAAGAAAGGGGGCTAGCCAGGTGGGGCTGTTTTGGAAGGCAGTCTGCAGACAGGGGATGTGGAGGTGCTATTGATACATTGTAGTAGGCCCAGTGGGAGAGTGCGTTGCTACTACCTCCAGCTTGTTATGGTATTGTCTCTTCAAATATATCTGTTCCAAGCTCTTTGATAGACGATCTGTGATCATGATGGGGACTTAAAAAATGAGGTTTATAAAAACTGGTTTAAAAATGAGATTTTCTTTCTGTTTGGAAGGACTGGAAAATATCTAAAAAATCTTGTACCTTCACCTAGTGGAAAGTACAGCGTAGTCTTAGGAAGGAGTTAACCTGTCAAGGTTTTCTCTTATACTACTATTGCACCCTTCCCTAAATAGATGCAAGCTCTTCATTCATTACAAGGTATTACACCTGGTGTATATAAACAAGGAGGATAGTCTTCCAGTTTGTCAGGTGCCAGTTTATACTTTTGTTTGTGCCAAAGAAATTGAAAGCCTGGATTTTTTTGTGCAAATTCACATTAGGCTTGGTTTCCCAGCTGCATCCTAGGTTTAGTAGACTTTACTTGGATTAAAAGATTTTAACTTTGTCCGGCATTATTGAAAAATTATACTTGTCTGCAAGCAGTCATTGTGTGCTTTAAAATACAAATGTGCTGAAGCTGATCAGAACACTTGTTTGGAAAATTATAGCAATCTCATGTCTGTGACAAAAACATGTTAAACTAGACATGTTAAACAAGGTATGGATGAGGCCAGGTCCAACTCTTACTCTTTCTGAAGTTTAATCAAATGATTTTACAAAGCTGATTTAAAAAGTAAGGGGAGTCGAGCTCATTTGAGAGGATGATTGGATTCCATGGTATAGCTATATGGTCTGTGGGCCAAGATCAGAGAATCATAGATTTGGAAGAGATCTCAAGGGTTGTCTGTTCCAACCTCTCCTCATGAGACTAGGAAGGACTTCATACTCCATGTAATCTGCAGTGGATCTCTGACTAATGTCAGTGGCAGATGGAGAGAATATGAAAATCCATTTACTAATTAGATTTGTGCTTATTCAATAACTTATTGACCCATTTAGTATTCTTCATTGAGAAAAATGTTCATTGTTAGGTTAATGGTATTTCTACTCATCTTCCAAAATTCTCTTCTTCTTGCCTTCACTTTTTTCTCTCTCTTTTTCCCCCCTCTCCTGCAGCGATTTCTTGTTTCCTATCCTTAAGGACTTTTGTTCCTATCCTCTTTCCTGTTCCAACCACTAAAAAAAAGTCAGACAAGGGAATAGTTCATGATGTTGAAGTATTGGCATGTAGCTTTAGAGCTGATGCTGCTATGTGTCTTCCTATGTCCAAGTTAGTTTTGCAGAAGGCTGTCTGCAAACTCAGGTTTATACTTGGCTCACTTTGGAAGATTATCCTGCAGCCATGAGGTCTCAGAATATAATTTTTTAAAATAAAAGATGAGATTCTGTACAATATTAATATGTTCTTTCAGATTTTCTCTTTGGTATATCAGTATATCATGTAGTGAGAGGCCAGGACTAGGAAAAAAAGGACTTAGAAGGTACTATATTTTATAACTCGGGCCAAAAAAAAAAAGGGTTTTGTAATATCTTACAACCCGCTGATAGTTCTCTGTTGGCTGAACAGTATTCTTGCGCAAAGACTAGGATGAGTGTTCATTACAGTTTGTTGAAATTTATCTGCCTAGCTCAAGTGAAAGTAATCAGATCATCAAATTGCAAGCAGCATAGACTATATGTCTTCTTGCTGCATTCCTAGTTCAAGTATCTGTAATACTAATACTTCAATTCATTGCTTCTGGTGGGCCAGGTAGGTTGAATTTAAAGGATACACAGTGCAGAAACATAGTGAAAGACTGACTGGTTTGGTGAATGTTGGCATTTCTGGAAATCTCAACCTATAAAGGGTACTTCTACATTATTGTGGCATATCCTAGGTGCACTGTTCTTGACCAGCCACTTCCTGCTTCTGCTGGTAGAAACTGACTGGTAAAGTATGCTTGAGATAGAGGTCTTGAAAGCAGCTGTACAGGTCATTTCTCTGAGAGGCCTCACTCCATTATTCTGGATTCAGAGCATGCCAGTCAGAGTAGGTGGGCTGTTGGTCCTCAGGGTGTCCTGGCTAGAACTAGAGCCTACTGCTGGAGCTAAACATACTGCTTTTCTCTTTCAGTATGATTAATTGCTTAGGCATATTTGAAAAATCTTACTTGCAATCTAAATCAGACTGTACAGTAGATGGAAGAGAAGTATTATTGTCTTTGTACAGTTGAGGTGATCTGCCTGAAGTCTGTGACAGAGGAAAAAACTGAACCAAATCAGAATAATAGAAAGTTAGGTTTTGAAGGGACCTCAGGAGGTCATCTAGTTCAACCTCCTGCTCAAAGCAGGACCATCCCCAACTAGATCAGCACAGCCAGACTAGGTCATTCCAGCCAGGAATGAATTATCTGAAGTTCCAAACCAGTTCTTCAACTGCAACTTCTTTCCTCTAATACGTTCTTATTTTTCTGTTTCTGGATTTGGAGTGCTAGTGTTTGAGGGGTTATTTTTCTGGGTTTTAAGTAAGATGCTGCCTATTGTAAATCAGGTGTAATAAAAAAAGGTATGAAATAAAGTGTTCTTTTTCTTTTGATTGATCAAAGGCTCGAAAGCTTCTCCGAGAACTTAAGCATCAGAAACGTTGCAACAAAGCTGTCACAACTATTGCAGCTTATTGGCATGGTACCCAGGTAAGAAAATGTTAGAAAGCTTTGTGTTACAGAGCCATTATGTGGAACAAAGACCCTACAGATTAAAGATTTGGGGAATATTTTCAGTGGCTTAAGCTACTTAACTTGCATTTCTCTTTGCTGCTTACATGTTTTAACTATTGCAATCTCAAAAACCAAGACATGCTTTCATATTTACTGTTTATGGTGACTGGTTTCTTTCTTTCTCTTTCTGTCCTTTGGGAACCTGCAGTAACCTTTTCTGTCCTAAACTTTTCTATAACCCATTTCAAATACACTACAGGCGCGAAGGGAACTGAGACGACTGAAGGAGGATGCTAGAAATAAACATGCTATTGCTGTTGTTTGGGCTTACTGGCTTGGATATAAGGTACTTCATGCATACATTCCATGCCTCTTCACTGCTCAACAATATCTGACTTTCACCTGTAGTAAATAGTGAAGATTAATAGTTAATGCTATGACTTAGAAAATATTAGAGCACGATCCTTAATTTCTTGCATTTCCATTTATGCCACACTTAATAAATCTGAAGACATCGTAAATGTTAGTCTTCCATCTATTTTATAGTCTGTAGACTAGGAACTTCTAACCATGCTACCCAACTAGTACCAATTGCATACTAACAGGTTATTAGATTTACATTATTAGAGTACAGTATAGTCAAATTAGAAAATGCATTTAACTGAACAAATATGCAAAGCATGTTTTTCTGCTAACAAGTGCTTGCAGTGATATTTTTCTAGATTTCTAAATTAAAGCTTTTAATGGGGAGTGTGTATTCTGCAACTTATACAGGCTCTAAATCCAAAATAGTACATTGTAATTTATAATTTTTACAACATTCATGTTTGAAATCCATTCTGTGCTGGTTTTTTCTTTATTCATAAATTTCAGTTGGGTAAGAGGGAGTACAGTGTTGCAAATAAGATGCAATATTGATGACCTGAATTTTGGGAGAAAAGTATGTTAGCATGCGCTTCTAAACTTCTGGCACTAGAAAAATCCCAGGAATTCCATCATCAGCTGTTTGTTTTCAGAATTAAAATCCCACTGAAAGATTCCTGCTAATCCCTAGATTGCAGTTGCAGGTTTTGTGAGCCATCAAAAATTCTGTGCAGCAGACAACATTTAAATTATTGTTTTAATTAATAACAGTGCTTCACTGACTTGCGATATTTTCAGTAAACCAATGAAAATTTAAATATCTCTCTATTATTATTTTGCATTGTTATTACAAAATACCTCATGAGTTAAAAAGAAAATAAATGGTTAGTGTGGTCTACTAATACAGAGCCATAGAACAATGCTGAGCTTGACCTTCATTGTTTTGTCACTGATGTAAATCAGTTAGACTTGTAATGAAATGTCAACCTGGGATTCAGCAAATAAAAATCTACAGAAGACCCCTCATGAGTGATATCAGCGTAAACTGCTACACTATCTAATCAGTCACAATTTTCTCTTCACTTACATTAAATAAATGTAAAATGTTTCTACCTTACTCTAATTAGGACAGTAAAATAATTGCATATCAATTCTCCTTCATAACAACAAGCAAAACAATTGATTTTTATATTCTTGCAATACCTAAGAACTCTCTTCTACCAGAGAGTTCAGTGGTAGGGAGCTAAATTTATGTACAGCTTCACAAAATTAAACTGTATATTGCTGTTAAAAAAAGAATAAGACAAATTAGAATGCATTTTTTTATTTCTATATTAAAGTACCTAATTGACAATACACAAAGAGTGGAAGCAGACATTGCTTTTGTGCCGTCATAAAATTTTTTATGGTGGCATAAAGGCCAAGCAAACAAATGTCCGTACCCCTTGTCACACCACAGATACCCAAGATTTGCAGCTGTGATTTAGTTGGCAACAATTTGTGTCACTTTACTGCAGAAGCTGTCTAGTAGGTTTATGGTGGAAAAGTGTGGTTAGGCAGGCAGTCCTTGAGTTTCAGGTGCCTGATGTTGCGTGCCTCAGGAAGTCCCATTTTTGGGTCATGCAAGATCAGGCCACTAAAGCTTGGGGATCTCCTGCCTAGGTTTCTAGTTTGGGGTTCCTTGGGTGCTGGTCAACACTCCAGTGCAGTCATGAGGCTGGGATTACCAGTTAGCTGATTGGTGGTCCCAGCCCCACACCCTCACCTGAGCTGGTTTTTCACACTTACAGAGGTGCACCCCAGAGATCCCACAGGGTGCAAATCTGTAAGCAGGGAACCTCGAGATTTCTCTGCTTAGACATGGACCCAGGACATTCACTGGGAAAGTGCCTGTACAAGGGAGGGGGCATGCTGCTGGTTTTCTGCAGGATATATGAGCTGGACAATGGGCATGGCTGATCTGTTCTGTTCGGTAATGTCTGTAAAGTATTTTAACTAAGCTAAAATGTTACATGTTTTAGTTTGTCTATCATAAGTCATAAGTCAAATGCAGTTCAAGAAAACATGTCTACCCAAGCTCTTAAGCATAAGCATAATTGTAACCAACCTAATTTAAGTACTCCCTAGAGGCTGCTTGAGATTTGAAAAAAAAAAAAAAAAAAGGCATAGAACTGAACTACTTGGTTTCCTTTCTCCTCAAAAGGTAGACAGATTCTGATTGTGCAGTGTCCTTGGCATTAAGATGTCATATAATGAGAACTAGAATTTGCTCCCTCACAAGTGAACTAAAATATATCTTTTTATAAAGGCCTTATTAATGCATAGGTAAATTGAAAGAGTGCTCAAAAAGTGCAAGAGATAAAAGTGAAGTGGATTCACTTTTTCTTTAATATACTTGACAAGATAAAAGTACTGCAAGTGCATAGCTACAGCTACTGCTACTACCATCTCCTTATCAAGAAGACTGAAACTAATGTGTTGGGTTGCATGATGTCAAATAACTAAACAAACAAATCTATTAATATCTTCTAAAATGTAAAACTATAATTTAATAGACTCTCAGTCTTCATATAGAGTACTTGGGAATTTTACTTTCCTAAAATAGATTATTGATGAATTTGTGTTTCTCTCCTTGTTTGTATGTGATGAAGTCATGCTGTTTAGTGATATCATGTCACCTATCTCTTCATTATGGGGAGAATCAGAAAGAGAGACCATTTAACAAAGTGACGAGTAGCACAAACAGAATATTAACATATCTCTAAAAACAAAAGTTTTAAATATGGCATAAAATAGAATGAGAAGGTTTATTTTACAATTAGAAACCAACATATTTCTTGATTTGTATAACTGATCCCAGTATGCTCAAGTGCTTGTCACTGGAGTTATTGATCCTGTAGGATATTTTAAATGATTCTTGAATCAACATTATTTTCATCTTATAACTAGAGGGAAAGCTTTCCATTAAATCAGGTGTCATGAATTCATATTGATTTATTTGATTGGCTTACTTGCATGGAAGATATAATGCAAACATTCATAGCAAATAATGGGGCTTGCATAATTCTTACTTTTCTGTATCAGTAAAATAGGCTTTTATTGACTACCCTTAACACCATTTCCACACTGGGTTTTAATGGTTACATACTGTTCTTCCATCTTTCTATATCTTATTCATAAATTGGCTGTTCTATTGGGAGAATCCTTTTCCTGGTCATTGTGCTATCTGCATCGGGCTGTCTCTTTTGTTCACTATCTAAACATTTTAGGCTCGAAGGGAATTGAAACGCTTGAAGGAGGAGGCTAGGCGTAAGCATGCTGTTGCAGTCATTTGGGCTTACTGGCTTGGACTGAAGGTACTTTCTCAACCACTCCCTTGCATCAACAGTGAACTCAATATTGAGCGTGGCATCTACTAACACATAATATGCTATTGATTGTGCGGGTTCATTAGTAAACCCAGTCTTTCAGGAAATTACATTGCTTAGTTTTGTCATGACCTTTTTACTAAAAAAAAAAAGTCCTGAAGCTGAAAATCTCTGAAATGAGACATTTGTAAATGTTTTTAACAACTGTATTATATTGCAGTGATGTAAAGTCTGAAGCTATTTCTTGTCTTATCAGGAGGTTCAGTTTTCAGTGGAAGAAAAAGTGCCAAAAGTGTTCTTAATTAAAGGGACATTAATATGGCTGTTCACTTAAAATTTGACCTACACTGGCAGAAAGCCCATTCAAAAAGATTGCAAACATGTATTTTCTTTTCTTGACCTGTGCTTGCTATAGCTGGGGAATAAAGTGGGACTATTTTTTATGCTCTCACTTTAGACCTACTGGCCTTGTATTGTAGCCTTAAGTATACTGTTTGATAAAGATGTAGACTTGCATGCTGTAACATAAGGTTGATGGCTTTCAGAGACCTTCCTAGAAAAGTTTTAGCAATTCCAGTTTTCACATCTGTCTATATATCTCTACAGCAAGGATTGGTTGGCAAAAGAAAATATTTCTGTAATCTATAAAGTGTAGTTCTGTTCTGTATATTGACTATGAAAATGGCATTGTGGGAAAAGACTTTTGTGCCTCAGTGGCACGCATATTTTGTTTTCTTGATTTATATTTTAAGTTAAGTTTGAAAGTACCCTCATTGGGAACTTATTGGGGATCCCAGACACCACCTGAGTTCTTTTGGGCTCAGTTATCATGACTAGTAGATTTAGTATAGGGGTAGGCAATGTTTTTTGGCCAGTGCTGAAGAACACCACAATGCCTACCTTGGAAGGCCGGAGTGCCAGAATGCCAGGAAAACAAAATGAGGGCAAGTGGTACATGGCAGGATGCCCTGCTTGTGCCCCCTCCCTCCCAGCCTTACTGCCCTTTGCCCCCCACCCAAGGCCCCTGGCCCCCAGCCCTACTGCCCCTGCTCACCCAATGCCCCTGCTCCCTAGCCCTGCTGCCCCTGCCCCCCAGTCCTGCTTGTCTGTGGCCCCCAACCCTACTGCCCCTTTGCCTCCAACCCTACTT